ACGTGATTGCATTGTTAAGTTTGAGCAAACTGAGAAAGATGAAAAATTGCTTGTTTTCTGCATATTACTACTTATGGTGAGGAATATATCATGCAATAGGTGAAACAAACAATGCAAGTTGCTTAAGTACTCATTCGACGTGTACTGTTCTCGGTTTTACATCTTTTATTTTTATGAACGAAAATGATATGAATTAGTTTTCAGATTTCGACCCCGCTGTAGAGTCCAACCATCTTTCTCAGCCGACAGGAAAGACCGTAACATATTGGCGACAGGACGGACGTGGTGTCAACTCCCGCTTATTGAACTCCTGTCCCAACTTTCTTTGTTGATCTTGTTGATTTGGGAATAATTTCTCACGTGCATCAATAAGGAATAGCCTTAATTGAATATTCAATTGAAGAGTAAATTGTAACGGGATATCTCCAAAGACATTTCGAGCAAAACCCCTCATTCGTGGACCTCGGATCGCGCACCTGTTGCACCAGTCAGACGTGTCTCTTTTGTCTGCGTTACAATATTAAATAATTGCCTACTTGAGAGTTAATACTGTTGTACTTAGAATACAATAGTGACTGTTACAATAAAAATTACCAATTTCAAATACAATGAAAATAATATTCATAAACAAAAATAATTAATAGCGCGATTATTGCACATTTTTTTAATTACGTTATAAATTCTACTTGCCTATAACAAAACATGCAAAGCACACTTTGTGCTGTTGGTTCCCAGAACGTAATTATCGTTACATCTCTTATCAATCACATTTTCGAGTAACGACCTCGTCGTAATAACGGAGGGCTGAAGTGCTCTCCCTTTCGATTATTATCGGTGCAAGTGCCCACCGAAAGAGGGAGAGAGAGAGAGAGATTAGAGGACAAGATAATTGCGCTTCGGTGCAAACGTGCACTTGAAGCGCGGTCCACAGAGCCTCAAATCAAAGAGTAACTAATCTCTGAAGTATTATATAAAGACAAATATGGCACAATTTTGACTCTGAAACAGTAAGCTTATAAAAAAATGTCAACGACAGTCGTATGTACATGTACAGTCGTCCGTGAATTTTGTACTAAAAAGTGGAAACAGCACAATCATTTTCTGATTTCTAAGTAAATATAATATTATACATTACAAAAACAGCGTTCTAGAGTTGCAGTGCGTCTATTAAACATTTATTTGTGGCCGTGAGAGAAATCTCTTTCCGGAAAAATCTCGGAAAAATCTCTTTTCAAACTCGCCCCTTATAGAAATGAAAAGTGTGGGAAAGAGGTGTTGCTTTCTCACTGTTTTCTTAACGTTGGCAGTGTTAGAAGAAATGTGCTGGAGATTGTATGACCACAGTGAGCATTGGATTAGTAAGCAAACAATATTGAGATTAACCCTGTCAGACTGTGTTTGTTCTTTATTTTATAAACGGAATATTGTATTTTGGATAGCAATTTTACATAAAAATAAAAATATGTTTACAATATTTCAAAATATCTAATACTAGCAACGTTTCAAAAATGGTTATTTCCATCTTCAGGCTGGAGTTAAAGTGTCAAAATGCCTGAAGATGGATTTTGCGACACGTCGTTATTTATATTTTACTTATTTTAGTATATTGCAAACATATTTTATTTTTATGTATAACTGCTACCCAAAAAACAATTTCCTGTGTACAAAATAAAGACAAAATACATTTTGAAAAAGTTGTTATATCTGCAGACAGAAAAAAATTAATATTAAGATAATATTTTATTAGATAATAAAATTGCATGAAAAATGAAAGTACTCACAATAGCTTAATCTGCTCCTTCATGTCAGGGAGCCTCGGATCTCGGTACTTGAAGATCTCGGGAGCGTGTGTTCGCATAGTGAGATATTTGTCCAGCAGCTCCTTGGTTCTTTCCAGGCTGTAGTCACATCGATGTAATACTGGCACCAGATCTACATCTGTAAAATGTTTTTTAAAATCATAGTAGTATAGTACTAAACATGATGTGAGTACGATGCAGGAAAAAATGTTTGAAATAAATTCGTTACGTGTTAATGCCATTAGTCAAGGTATTTTGTATTGTAAATGTTTTGCTACAGAGCTTTTTAGTGTTTAAATTATTTCTCGAAAGCGATTCTTTCTTACTACAAACAAACACCAGAATACATTTCTCGCTGTTAGTTATAAGTAAATGTACTTTCTATTGTCTGTCTTATTTCGTCTTTGGGAAGAATATTTGTTATTACTTTCTCGTATACGTACGTATTCCGAGTAATGTATTAGTATAAAGAAAGTTATGTATAACACTGCGGAAAATGGATTTCGCTATTTCAACGGAAATACACGTTTTGGGAGACTGTGATACCAATAAAGTGTTATTTTTTTCAAAATGTCTGCCCGCCCATTCGCCCGTCCCTCCGTTCGTTCGTCGTTCGTCCATCGGTTCCTCTAAGCATAAGAATTTTTTCCAATTGAATTCTCCCCGGTCAGTCTGTTCTCACTTAAACCTCTGAGATTTTGAATAACATTCATTATTTTTTGGGGGAACTTTCAAGAAGTCCCTGGGACATTTTAATAATTTTCTCAAAAATAGCTCTAAATTTTTTCTTCAAATTTCTTCTTAAAAGAGTGAAATACACTTTTGAAAGTGGCTTAGGTCCAATGACCTTAAATTTTCGAAAATTACAAAATTTTGAATTTTTTTCGGCTTGTTCCTGCTACTACTGCAAAATTGAAGATAGAGATTTTTCATTCAATTAGCTTGTTTCCTCCATAATTCATTAATGCCATGTACATTTTTTGAAAATTTTGGTAGTTTTTGCCCAACATTGATTGAAATATATGCAATATGTAAAAAAGATCAATTCCAAGAATTTGTCAAAAAGTATTCAAATTTTTTCATTGAACTTTTGGTATGGATAGTGATAAATGTACTGCATAAGATGATATCGCCATTTTGCGTCATTCTTTTACCATTCTTTTATTTTTGCACTTTTTGTCATTTTTTAATTTTTTTAAAATTACACAAGTGTAATTTTTTGGACATGTGATATATATATATATATATATATATATATATATATATATATATATACATTGCCGGTGACTTGTACATTATTGAATAATAAGTACATTCAAATGATGTCTTTTAAAGTTGCTCGAAAACTCAATAGTTTTATGTGATAATTAGCTCAAAATTTCGCAATTTCAGAAAAGCTTGAACTTTATTTTCTCAAAAAAGGCTCCAAATGTTTATTAAGAAGTTTTGTACGGATAGTACTAAATGCAAGACATAAATTCCATTTTCTGTAATATTTTGTTTTAAAAAATACCAAAATAAAATATTTGTGAAGTATCTCACGCCCTTAATACGCACATTTCCAGCGTTTTGTATATATCATTGCATTTGTGAGTGGAAGTGCTTCCATTGACTTTCAGTGAAGTTTCTGGAAAACTCAAATATTTTCTATGAAAAAGAGCTTCAAATTTCGCATTTACAGTAACGCTTGAAAGACATTTTCTTAAAAACGACTCCAAAATTTTTAACCGAAAATTTCCTTATAGGACCAGTTGATACAATTCTATAATATTTTTGAAGTAATATTTCGGTTCTACCATTATGAAACCAAAAGTTGAGAACATTTTAAAAAATGTACTTGGAGCGGCAATAGATGGTAGCTGGCGAGCTGGTACATTTTTATTACTCCGAAAGTCTAGTATTTTTATATTTACGTGAGTAGCTAGAAGCGTATTATTTTATTGGGTTTCATAAGTAAGCTGCTCAGTGTATAATCAAGATACTAACCGAACCACACACACACACGCACACACACACAAAGAAAATTTTAAACGATCCTTCTTATTTTCTAGGAATTTAAGATTTGAGGCTTTTTTGTAAGATTTGTCTTTCCGGCGGAAGACTTTTGCCTGACCTATGTTTTTTCTCGACTGGATTGGGTAGACGCGCCGGACGCGGCGATAAGCCTCAATCTGTCTACTGCGCAGTTGCTCAGGGAAAGGGTACAATTGTCTAAGAAATGGGTGATGATCGAAAGCGAGCGTGAAAAATCCCCTTTATATTGACTTATGTTTGGTGTAATTGGTGAAAGACCGGTGTGTAGTCGATAGGCTATTCGTTGATCAGGGAATATTCACGTTTCAGGAAATTTGAGAAAGGATTTGCGCCTAGGTATTTTTTTACTTTTGACAAATAAAAAAAAATGAAAATATGATAATCTTCCAAAACTTCTTGTTCTAGGCAGTTTCAAAATAAGCATCAACCGCCGTTTGAGGACATATTAGGTACTATTGGTTGCTTTCAGTGGATCTATTTTTCATGATTCGTAAACATCTGCAATTATTTTACACAACATCCTAAAGGAACAAAGCAGGCATTTGTCCTAAACTCCGAGGTCTAGTAATTACATTTTCATCTCAACGCGATATCATTTGCAGGCTATAACAATAATAATGTAACACAAATGTAAAATTAGTTTATTTTACATATGCCAATTGCCAAAGACATAACGAGACGTAACCTTGAAGTCATAGTACAACGTTAGTGGGACTCTCTCTTGTTTGAGGAAGAGTGTTGTCTCCGCTCTAGGGTCCAGGAAGTACGGCGCTTGTCGATAGTGAGTCTCATTATTTTTTAAACTGAATATTCACATGCGTTAGCCTGTGAGGCTTTGGGCAGAACGTTAAGAAATATACAATTCATTTTAGAATTGAAGAGTTGAAGGAGAAACAAAATGTTGCTAATGCATAGTATGAAAAAATAAATTAAATTGATTTGCTGTGAGCTTTATTGTTGAAGAAAAAGACTAAGGAGGATGAAATGTTTCGGAAGTTTTTCGTTTGATTCTGTTTTGACGAGGGTTATGTTTTCCTACGTGAAAATAGAGTGCAGATGGTATATGTTTTATATGGGAATAATATTTAGTGGAGAGTTTTAGAAAATAATTTTCGATAGGTCGAAAGCCCAATTCATGAAATTGAGAATTGCTCATTGGAATAAACCATGGCGCTTTTGAACAAGTTTTGAGACAAGAATTTTGAAATACTTGAATTTTGTTAATCGATGTTTTTGAAGCGAAAACCCAGATTGGACAGGCATAAGTGAGAATAGGATGGATCATTGTTAGATAAATACGAATTTTAGTTTTGACGTTAAGAGAATGCGAATATTGTTAAAGGAATGTCTCATAGCACTTGAAAAGCAGAAAAGGCAACAATAAACAAAATTGCAACAAAAGGCCTTACCCTCCATGCGCGGAAGGTGAGGTTGTTTGCTCGTCCAGTCCTGCAGGTACTCCAGGTCCGTGCGGGACAGGCGCGGGGACGTTTTCAGCAGTTCCTGCAGCGTCGGAGCCATTTCGGCGTGTGGGCGTGGCGTAGGAGCGCAGTCGTCCCCTGTCGGCAGCTGACTGATCGCCCTGACGCTTTCCCCGGACGCAAGTGGCACTTTTCACTCCAAGGTGAAACACGAGCGCGTGAGAGGGAATTATCTATTTTGACATCATTGGCTGTATCATCAAGTGTACTGTTTGTGCTCCTGCGATAATAAAAATCAGATGCTGTAATAACGCGATAACGATTGACTGATCACGTTTAGATCATGTTGACTTTCATTCTTTGTAACTATAACACGTTACAAAATGTAATATTTGCTACCCAATTAATGTTGATAGGTTGAGAAAAAATATCTTAAAAAGTGTGTATGTAGCTTTGGATTGTATACAGATATTTTAGATTCTTCTTTAACGTCTTTGTTTATTAGTCGTGCAGCAATTTTCTGTTGCAGAAGAAATTTGATTTCGATAATTGGACGGATTCGTTTTTTTTAATTTGAGATTGAGATTATGGTATTTTTTAAACTCTATTCTTGAAGATTTTAGTAGATGTATATGTTATATTATTGTATATATATTATGTATTATATACTGTTATAGATGATGGTATATTATTGATAGTATGTATGTATATATATATTATATTATATATATATATATAGTTTATAACTTTTCTAATATATTTCCTGTAAACCCTTTGTTTCTTATTTAATCTGATAGAAATGTAAGTGAAGTTAGAAAGCATTATACTATTCTTCAGCAATACGACAATACGACGCCTGCTGAGATAATCTTAATGAAAATTTGTCATAAAACTTGCATAAGAAAAAAACGTTTCCAATAAGTTATTTACGTGAGATCTTAGGAAGGAAGACAGAACACAAGGCGACGTGGTATCATGTCGGGGAATATTACATAACAGATCATGCTTCTCACTCGCAGGTCGATCGTGCAGTTTCTTTGCTAATACTTGAAGGCTATCACACCACTTGCTTCACAGTTGGGTCATACTACGTATGGAAGGAATACTGGTGCGGTGGCATGGTGGAGCGCTGAGTGCCATCAGCCTTGGATTTTTAATTGGCCCAATGGGTTTGGTTCAGGCGTGATGAAATGACGTCTTTCCATCAAGGATTCAGCGCCTATAAAATTTCGGGAAACAAGAAACGCGAAAGTTATATTATTTGTGCTATATAGCCAAGTAATTTACTTACATTTCATTTCTTCTGTTGTTTACTTACACTACAATCATTTAGTAGACCAACTACATTGTTTACTCGCATTTCCAATCAGAAAACTTAGAATCATCGTATAAATTTTAATGCTATGCGGTTTGTTTAACTCAAAGTAATTCACCGCTCTTTGCTTTTATCTAGGTATCTAGTCATGACTTCGTATTCAAAGCGGCGGTTATGCATCGAAAATAAAAAAGGAACATTAATTAGATTTCTAATGAGGTAGATACATCCTAATAATTAAATATGGTAAATTAAAGGTGTTGTCTGGTATCAAAAATTTATTTAGCTAATGATCGATTCGATCGCGTAGCGATCATCCTCAGAGGTAAAATTAGATTTACCGAAGTAATGTAATTAATGTAATTTTATTTCGGTAATTCTAATTTTACCTCTGAGGATGATCGCTTCGCGATCGAAACGATCATTAGCAAAATAAATGATTGATACCAGACAACACCTTTAATTTACCATATTTAATTGAAAGAGAAACAGATCAAGGGTGAGAGAATGTTTCTGTACCTTTTGCTTCGCTACAAATTTCGTTAATGAATTATCAATTTTGAGGTTATTGACCACAATTATAATGTGGTTGTTGAACTGGGGAATTTTAAAATATTTCTTGATATTGGGAACACAGTTGTCTGTTTAGATCATATCTAATCACTAAAATAAGATAAAAGCTGAAGTGACTTTGTAGACCCCAGTTTGTTTCTGTTGTGTAACTATTCATTGCAGAATTAGCTTATTCGTTACTGAAGGTTCAAATAGACTATTCTACTCGTGAAAGTAAAACCAATAGTTTTAAACTATCGATTAACATTATTTATACAAAATGCCCCAATCAGAGCGGTATACCTCAAAAAGTTTATCGCTTTTTCCATCCGATTTTTCTTATCGCTTCTCCCTACTGGCCAATCATGAACTGTGACTCATTTATCTTAGGTTGCGGTATACTTCATTGATCGCTGGGTTGCTTGTGATTTTAACATAGCTTTCAGTTATTTTCAAAATTTCGCGCATTTTTGAACTCTTGAACATAATTGTACTCCAGGATTAGTCCTATTAAATACCACGCGAGCTTTGGAAATTCGCAGATAAATCCCCTCCTCGCTTCGCGATTCGGGAATTTATCGACATTTTCCAGAGCGCTCGTGGTATTACGTACGATAATGATAGACACACACTAGAACGTCAGTTATTCGGACGTCAATCGGACCGTCGATTATCCGGACTGTTTCATTTCATATATACATTGGGATCGGATTTTGGGTAAACAGTTTCAGAGTTTAAATCAAACAAGGATTTGCAAAACTTAAGGATTTATTTTATAATTAATATTAACATTACAAACATTACTTGTTTCTCAACTATAGAATCTTAAAACATTTTAATTCATTTTAAATGTTTATTATTTTAAAATATGTTCTTACTAATTTTAGAGTATTCTAATTTCTCGATTTTTGTAGTTCAGATTCTGAAATTGAATTCTTTGAATTTACAAAGTGAGTCCTTGTGTGCGTAAATTGTTATTCGTTTTCCCGGAAATTGTTCGCTTCTTTCTCACTTTATTACTCTCACTTTCTACTCACTTCATTAGTTTTCTCAGTCTGCCTTTGAACGTTCAATGAGACTCATCAAATTTTTATTTTAAACACCAGTTAATAAACAAAATAAAAAGTTATTTTGTGTTTGTTCTGTTTTTGCATTTGGTGTTTCCGGTGATTATATTTTGTTTCTACTTCCAATGCTAATCAGAAGCTTTTGAGTTGAAACTTTAATATTTCTGAAGCTTGATCTAGTTATGTCGTTCTGAAGATCCTTATGATGTATTATTTCTTGGGTGTACTTTACATGAAGCCCCTGTGACATTTTCAAAATTTTCAGGAAAAGTGGCTGAATTTTTTCTAAAATTCCTCTAATTATAGTACATGACGCAGAAATCTATTATCTTAAAAGACATCAAAACAGCTAATGATATTTTAATATCCGCGTAGAAAATGATGGAGTGAAAATAATTCTAACGGAAATTGAAGATTACTTCAAAACTCCAAAATTTTTCTGAAATAAAAATATATTAATTTCTTCCTTCAGGATTCCTTTTACCAAGTCATTTTTGCTGCTAATGAAAGACATTCCTGATTCGTGTTTGTCACAGTAAATCGCCTAACGGTTAACAGAACTAAAATATAATGTACCAAAAGTGACTAGGTTTTGACACAAAGGCCTATCAACGTATGTCATTTTGTAATATATATCTGGCAGTGACAGTGGAACCAAAAGACAACACAAACTATAGAAACATAATACATTTTAAACGTTTCGATCATTGTACTGTGAGACTTTATTCTCAAGACAATATCAAAGCTATTTAATGTAAAATATTATCAAGGATAGAGCATACTGTTATTTAAAACCTAGGTATGTTAGATCCCAGATACGCATCATTGTTCTGATTGAAAAATCAGTAAACGTTTATTTCCCGTTTGTGTTAATTGTCAGAGTAGCCAAGAGGTCAATCAGAGGGTGACCTGCATTTAAGGCAGGCACGTCAAACCTCGCCCGCAGGAGCTACATGCCCGCCTGGGAAGTCCGGCGCTTCTTCGGGCAAGGGGAACTCCCCCTGACTCAGTTCAAGTTTCCCCTCCAAATCCAGAGAGTGGTGTACACGCGCTAGCTGAAGCGCCGGAAGGTGAGCAATAATGGCTTCATAAGAAACTATGTTGGCCAGATTTGTTCTATCGAACAACCGAAATTTGAATTATTCGCTTATTCTTCACTTCTTATTACTATTTCATGTTTACTTTCTTTTTTAAATTCTGCTGTGTATAAACATTTTTCACCAGGGAAAGGTATATGTTTGAATGGCAAACTCTTTATTTTTTCTGTTTTGTGTTGTTATTAAATCATCTACGTATTTATTGCATTTAGCAATAATGTAAAATAAATAATTAAGTCTATAAGTTAACAATTTTAAAATTACCTAATTCAAAAATGAACTTCGAAATTTTACATATAATAGCCAATAAAACATGTAAAATAGCTATACCCCCTGATAAATACCCACTAGACTTAATAGAGAAGATTGAATTAGAATATTTAAATCAATAATCCCCGGATCCTCACTTCCTTATGCTTGCCCAGTCTCAGGGATGCCTCAAGAAGTAATACTGACAAAAAAACAAACAAATTGTGCAAAGCAAATTTTAGAACGTGTCATAAAGAGGGACGTGTCACGGGAGAGTAGACGGAATAGTTATAGATTTTGCCAAAGCGTTTGATGTCGTTCCCCGCGATCGGCTGGTACAGAAATTAATGAATTCAGACATAGATTTCAGGTCGTTTCACCGTGGATTAGTGAGTTTCTGCGAGTCAGAAAACAGAAAGTCCGAAATGGCCATGAGTTTTCTACCGGGGCAAGCGATACGTCAGGAATACCGCAGTGGAGTGTCATTGGACCTCTTCCATTTCTAGCGTTCCTCAATGATCTGAGAGCGCAATTAATATCAAATGTTCGGCATTTTGCAGACGATTGCATAACATATCTTAATGTGAATTCGAAAGAAGACGAAGAAATGTTGCAAACGGGATCTTGATGCGTTACATTGCTGGGCGAAAAATAATGGAATGACCATAAATAGCTCCAAAAGCAAACCCTCACTTTTGGCAGGTGTCATAATACAGAGAAACAAATTAATGCTTAAATAAAGACATTATTCCGATAGATTTCTCATGCAAGTACCTAGGAATCCATTTCGATACTAAATTAAGCTGGAAAAGTCACGTAGATTTTGTTGTAGGGAAAGCATGGAGATATCTCCACTTTGTGCGATGCGCACCTTAAATAAGAGTACGGCAAACGCGAAGGAAATTGCTTATTTATCGCTTGTTAATGGAATGGAACACTGGAATATTATAACACGACAAAATCTGTATGATTGACTAGAGAGTAAATAAACATGATAAATAAAAAATTGATATCATTCTGTAATATCTGTTGTGACTGCGATACACTTATCAGAATCACTTGTTTGCGTCTAGTGTGTTTCTGGTTAACCAGGTTGTTCAGTTAAAGATCGTTAGATAATGTCTTGTATCACGTGTATTCTAGATAAGAACTACTTTGAGATAATAAAAGAAAGCATTGAGCTATGTACTTTTCACTTGCCGTTGACCTTGATGTCAAGTAACTATTAACATCAAATGGGTCATCTGACTTTTTTATGTGATAATATTTCTCGAACATTAAAATAGTTATAATTTAACACGTAATATAGATTTCACGCGTTCATAATGCACACGTAAACACTATTTGATGCATTCACCAAGATAGAAATTAAGAGAAAAGAGGGAAAGAAATTTAAAAATGATGTCAAGATATAGTATAATATAGTATTAAAGTATAAGGTTAATTGTATTAATAGTATTAAAAAATAAGGTTAATTGTAAACAAGAATGGAAAGAAGAAAATAGAATATACAAACTGAATGGTACGGGTGATGAACGAGTGAACAGATCGAAAGAAAAACAGTTGACTTAATTTTGAACTGATTTGCTAGTTTCATTCCTTTAATGTAATGAATATTTTTTTACTTTTTCCTTCTCGTCTAAAAAGTTTTCATCTGTGTAAGTATTTTGCCTTTTTTTAACTGGAGAGGATATGTCATCTAGGCAAACGGAACGGTAGATGGTGACTAGTTCTGTGTTTCCGACTCCAACCAGGAGAAAACCAGGAAATGTCAGCAAAATTTCTTCTCGGATCCTATGTCACGTTTCAGATTATGGTTTCCATTGTTTCGTAGGTTTTGCCAGGACTCTTTCAAAACATACTAAACATTTTTCATCTCTGTCATGCGATTTTGGTCGAAAATAAGAGTTTTTACTATTCCTTGAAGTTGTTTTTACTTTTCCTTTTTCCTGTGGCTCAAAGTCTCGACTTTACCGCCAAGAAAGATGTTTCACTTGAAAAATATTATTTAAAAAAGATTAGTGGAGAGGTAATCGTTTAAAGGAATTTACTGGAGTTACTTAGTTTTTATTACATACCAATGTTCTATATATTAAATTCTCGCCTTTCGATGAAGCTGGAATACCAATTTTTGGAGGGGGCACCAGCCGCCCCTATTTTCTAGTGTGATGTCTCAATATTTTGATATAAAAATCCTGTCAAATAGGAAAGAGTGAGAATAATAAATATGCATTTGTAACTAAAGTAACATTTTAGATTATTTTATGTAGATAATTGGATATTGCATGTATATAAATCGGGAAAATCGAGCGTCTATAAAGATAAAAACTGATTTATTTTTTGCAATTTTACCGACGAGGGAACTTAGTTCTGTTAATGGACAAAGGGCTCCGCAGTGTCAATTTGCGTCCCTGCAGGCTGATGTGTAGATGGAAGATCCGCGGCGAGGAGGAGGAGGAGGAGTATTGCTCCCGGGGATAATTACGTAAAACGGCTCCACTTCATTCTTCTTCCGTTTGCCGCTCCACTTCGCAGGAACTCATGAAAACAACTGCCGAACTCTCACCACTGAGCAATTAGTTCTTGATGACGCGCAAACATCCTGCAGAGGGCAAGCCGGGTGGTGAACGTGTAGTTTAAGTGCAGAGGGGCGTTATTTTACGGAACTTAGTGGCTATTATTATCAGCAAAGAATATCCATAAATTATACCGAAATAATTATTTACGTAACTGGAGATAAAGTGAGAGAAAAAAATATTTGCTTCTCATTCATCCCTTCAGGCCTTTCGCGGGTTATTTCTTACAAAATAAACATTACATGAAGAACATAACAGACTCTTCAAGTTACATAAAGACACAAGTACACTTACGTGACCTTATGTTTCAATCTATATACAGTTCCTGTTTATATTTAATACAAAAATATAACATTGAGTAAAATACCACACTTGTGGATAAAAGTTACATACAGTTATTACAATCACATGCAATGTTTATAACCTTATCGCCAGCAATTGATGGCGGCTTAAGCGATCTTCTGGAAAGCGTGATAATATCCTGAATGATGCATAAGTTGTACGGTCAAGGTTGAAAGTTCTTTTGCTAGGAAAAGCTTCAAGCCTTAAATAAAAAAATAGATAGTTTATTTATGTACACTTTAATGCAACGAATGTTTAATTCTTTTTGAATCTGTGCATTAGGAATAAACCAGGGAGCTTTGGTAACCAGACTTAGAAATATGTGTTGAATTATTTCCAATTTATTAATATGCGTGTTTTCAGCGCCTCCCCATACTGAGCACACAAAGGTGAGCGACGGACAAAAATATTTATGAATTTTTACTCTATTTTCTATTCTGAATGCAGAGCTTTTATTTATTAAAGGCTAAAGTTTGACCATTTTTGCATAAATTTTGTTAGCAATGTCAACTATATAGTTCTTCCATGTTAATCTCCTATCTAATTTAACTCCTAGGTATTTGACGGGTTGGTTGTTGTTTAACCATAGAACAGGATTGTTACTGATTATTAAAAGAAGAGGAGTTATGAATCTTTTTGCGACAATATTTTAGCTTGTAACTTATTTGGGTTTATCTGGATCCTCCATTTATCAGTCCATTTAATTAAGATATTTAAATCATTTTGTAGGTATTCTAGGGCAATAATCAGTCCATGTTGTGAGAGGATGGCAGTTTCTTCTGCGAACAAGGCTGTTTCGGTATTCGTTAATTACGGAAAATCGGCAATGTACATTTTGAATTAAGTCAGTGACAATGTGGAAGCTCGTGGAACTCTAGCTGAGATTCTGTATTTATGCGACATGATGTCACATATTTTAATTTCACACATTAAATGATGATGTTAGAAAGAAACTTTTAATTATATATTGAAGATGTTTGAGAATGCCTAGATGGCGGAATTTGTATTACAGTCCTATGTGGCAGACACGATCAAATGCTTTAGTAACATCTAAAAATAGAGCTGCCGTGTACTTTTTCTCATGAAAACACTTCGCAATCAAATCTGTAACTCTTAAAATTTGGTGTTCAGTCGAGAGATTGGCTCTAAAGCCGATCTGGGCATTAGGTATGGCGTTCGTAGCGTGTAAGAATTTATTTAACCGACCTAAAGTCAGTCTACCAAACAATTTAGCTAGTGAAGGTAATAGACTAATTGGCCTGTAATTCTCTAGTAGTTGTGGACATTTATTAGGTTTGTTTATTGGAATAATTATTGCATTTCTCCAATTGATTTGGTAAAAATCTAGCCTTAATGCAGCACTTTATATTGCAGTTATTGCTGCAATTGTGGATTTTGGTAATTCTTTTCATATTTGACTAAATATTAGATAGTGCTCAGCCACTTTTCGTCTGTTTTCCACTTCGTGTCTGTTTAATGTGCGTTTAAGTTTTGCGGGGGATATGAATTTTGTTCTTACTCTCCGCGGAATATACAGATTGCTTCACGCTGTGTAACATTTCCTCATTAAACATATTGTTTACTATTGCATTTGGTTTAAAGGTATTTCAAAAGTGAACAGCAAAAGCCTCCGCTCTTTTCTTCATCTGTACGATAGAGAATTCTGTTGCCCGAATTTAATGGTTGTATTGTAGATTGCTCTGGTAATCGTTTTGATAGTAGTCCATAACGTAGGTGAGCCGAGGCTAATTTGGGCTAAAATTTGCTTAAATTAACTCTATCGGTCTTAGT